CAAAAAAAAAAGAGAAAAAGAAATAAAAAACAAAGACGATCATTTAAAAATACGAGAGAGTACTACTCTTTTTGACAAACAAGTTAAAAAGTGTGTTGTTTACGATGATATATTACTTTCAAATAGAACCTGCATAACGTAATGTAATTCAACGAAATGTATAAATGTCTCTCTATATCTTTTTATTTCTCTCTTTTTCTTTTCTATTTGTTGTTTTCTTTCCGTATCGCACATCAATTGTACCCATAATTATGAAAATGGTCTAAGTTAAAATTTATTTTTACTTTATTAACTAAATGAATTACTAAATGAATTACTAATTATTAAATTAATAAACTAAATGAATTAAAAAATTAATTATTAACTAAAAAATTAGTTATTTATTAGTGAATTAAATAAATTCAATGTAATTTTCACGATATTATGAAAAATAAATCGTTAAATAATGTTTGTTATTTCAATATTTTATAAAATTTATATAATGTTCAAGTATAAATCTTGAAATATCTCGAAACAAGAGAAATATGATTTAGATAGACCACTTTTATAATTATGGACACAATTATACAAAATATGAACCACCAACCAACCAACTTTTTCCAATATGTACTAAATAAATTTATAATGTCAATTGAAAATTATTATTTTGTCTAATCGATTGTTTGTTTGTTTTTTCTTTTTTATATATATATATCGTTTTTTTTTCCCAAAGGAAGACTGTCAAATTAGATTTTTGAATCTTCGTAACTTCCATGATCATTGGGAAAAAATGATCAAATAGAATACATGTGTATTTTATGCCAGTGACCATTACACACTTTGGATGTTTAGAAATATCCATATTTAATTATTTACAAATGATCATAGTTGATCAGAAAATCGACAAATTTCAATATAAAAATACGCTGTCACATGTGCACGATACATATAGTATATATATATTATTCGTGCATATGTCCGTCAAATGAAATATGCAAAAAAAAAAAAACAATCTATGCATAATGCAATAAGTGATGAATAAAAGTGACATTTGAAAAGAAGTATATACATACAACATACATTATACATCATACATCATACATACGTACTTACTTACTTACTTACATACATACATACATACATACATACATACATCTAAATACGTATATACGATACGGACCTGATGAACTTTTCTTCGAGTTTAATATCTTAATCCTTTGCATAAACATCTGCAGTAATGCAGTATGACAATAATGTATAATAAGAGAGAAAGAGACAATCGTTTCAAAAATCAAACAGATCGTGTTTGAACGATTGATATCAATCGTTACGATATGACACATTATTATAAATTAATATTTTTGTTTTCTTTTGCAATTTGTTCATTGTTCTAATTTGCAAATGACAAAATCATATTCTACTTATCGATAAGTATTATTCTTTCTGTCTGTTCTTTTTCTTTTTTCTCTCGAAGCTGTTCCTTTTAAATTACAATCGTCAAATTACGTCAACCTGCAGATTACCGAATCGAGTAAAAAAAAATAATCATGCGTATTCAAAAGAAATGCCTCATCATACTTAGAAATATAAAAACTAAACTAGTTGTAAAAATAAAAAAAAAAAAAGAAAAAATAAAAACATTCTTTTATGTGCATAATATCGCAACTAGTCAAACAAATAAGCATCTCTTCTAATACGCTTTAGACCGATTAGAGTGATGAGCCAATTGTTAAGTGATTTTAAAATCGTATTATCGAATATTCTTCGAAACATATATACGCAACAAATTCTTCTATGTATGTATATATCCAAGATTAATAAAAACAACAAAAAAAAAAACAATATCATCTTCTCCGTTACAATATTTCCTTTTTTCTTTTTTGCATTTTTCTTTCTTCCAATTCTGTGCGTTTTTCTTTTCCCTCTTGTCGCTATTTCGTTTCTTCATTTCTTTCAACGACTAATGCCTGCATATCACGGGAAATCGATCTTTGGACTTAAATAATTTAAATAATTCTATTCTTTCGGTATTTTCTAGTGTGTCACAATGTACAGCCTTTTTTTGCTTTTTTTTTTTTTTTGCATTTATACGCTAACATCTAACTAAGAGTATGTTATCCCTCAAAAATTTTCTATTACATCTCACCCTCCTCTCTTCCTTCTTCTCCTCTTCTTTCCTAGATACATAAAAGATTTACATAAGAACGTTGTGAAACGAAGGAAGAGAATACGCATATTCTCGATTAAAATACAAACAACATATTCCTTAATCAATTTCTCATATAAATCGTTGCAATCTAATCCTCCATCATATTGCATTGCGTGACTCTTTTTTTTTTTATCCTTAAAAAGAACGAAGAAAAAAAAAAGAAAAAAAAAGACACTCATAACTCAGTCTGTATGGATCTCAAACCGTAAAAAAAGATACGTTTTGCACGGATTGAATGAAAATTTACAATAATTGCATTTGCCTATGGGGGTGGTACCATATGTAGTTTAAGTGTAAACAACAAAACACGATGTATACCAAAAAGGTACAATACGTCGAAGGACCAATACTTTTTGTTTGTTTTTTTTTTTTCACGATAACTCAGTAACTTCAAATTAATATCAATCAATGATATTAAAAGAAGATGTTCGTTATTCGTTCCAATGATTCTTATTCCATAAGGAAGAGCTTCGTTATACAAATTTTCATTCCTATGAGAATAACCGAAAAGAGTATTAAACTAACAGCATATGTTGACATTTCTAATTTTTCTTATTTTTCTTTTGCTTACTTTTTCCTTACTCTTTTTTCTTTATGTCTCAACTAAAACAAAAAAAAAGGGATCACTAATTAATTGTTTATAAAATTGGCGCAGTAAATTATACATTAACTATCTATACATTTTCAACATTGATCGATATATTCTACAAAAAGGAATGGTGTGATGTACATACATTATCAGCGATTAGACTTTCATCGATTGATTTCCCTTTATATCTTATAAACTTGCCTAATACTCAAATTTCTTAGAAATAACGAGATATAGAAAAAAACAAAAAGAAAAAATGATTTTATCCGCGATAACAGATATGAACGTTGTGTACATATATATATATAT